TAACTGCCACTAAGTTATTCCAAAAAAAGAATCTAATTATTTAATGTGCATATACGTGTTAAAATTTAATTATATATTAAACATAGAAACTTAGGGACGGTTTATTAAATATTTGTTGGTAAAAATTATTCCTTTTAGTTATCTTATGGAGTAACAACCTTGAATATCAAAATGCATTGATCATAAACGTTTATAACACAATAAGTGTTTACCGAGTAAGAGTCATCACCCTTATTTATTGGATAAGAGTCTCGATTGTTGTCTTCCCTCTTACCACGTAAGATTCTCGATTCTTGTCTTTTCTCTTACCATATACGATTTTCGGTCCTTGTTATTCTCACCCAGTAAGATAATTGAACCGGTAAACGCTTACCACAATAAGTATTTAATAAACAGCCCCTTACTCTAACCAAAATTTCATTTCTTATAACGTTAAAAACATCGACCCTGATGCATAAATTAAGCCAAACATTAAAATATTAGCTAGAAATACGTCTTTTCTTCTATGTTTTGGCTTCAAAATAGTTTATAAACAATGATATGGGCTGAAACGGCACGCAGACTTTCCACAAGAGCTGCGTGGATTTCACCATCATCAGCTTAACAACGACCCTTTTGTATATATCAAACGCCACAATTTCCATTCCTCTGTGTTAATTTTTTTTTGCAAATATACATACAATATATATATATATATATATATATATATATATACATAATCATCCCATGAGCTTCTTCCAAACACAAATTTCCAACCAAATATTGGAATCAATCGTGTAATAACGCTCGCTTACAGACTCCCGAAATTGAATCCAGGTGAGATTTTTGTCAACGTCTCGAATCTCCTTCGACAACTTTATATGTAAGATCGGAATTCAAGATTTGTGGGTTATTACAAGAACTTTCATTTTGTTTTTTCTTCTCTCTTTTTCTTATCGTTGGATATCGAAGACTATATACGTAGTCGAGATATTTTACGCAGAAAAAGGGTTAATCGCTGGTGATCTCGATCATGGAAGAACTGCAAGCTTTTGCCAAGGAGCGTAGCTTCAAAAGGTCAAACATGCTTTCTTTCTTTCTATTATTCCTTAGTTTGTAGCACAAAGCATGAGGAATTGGGATTTAAATCTGTAATTGTTAAAATTGTGAAATCAAATGGTACGAAAACCGAATGTTTGATCACGGTTTTGATGTTGAATTAAACCTTGGAAACGGGTAGCATTTGGTTCGATTGTTCTTCGTTGAATCGATTACGGGTTGAAAATGTATGGTTAATATAACATGTTCTCTTTATTTGTTTCTGAAAAATCTATGAAAGAATAAACTTCAATTTTATTGTCAACAAGTTTCAATTACTTATTTGCTTGATTATGTTTTAGATTTAATATGCAAAAAATATCTCTTAGCTGAATTTATTTATTTATTTAAAATCATTATATTATTATATTTTCTGTCATGATACAACTGCTATTGATATTATTATTAAACTAATATTGATATTATTTTTCATATTAAACTTATGGTGTTTAATTTATGTAGAATTTGAGAATTGGTCCATAATACATCAACATCAACATCGACCCAATCATATCTAGGGTTGTAAATGAACCGAACGTTCAACAAACTGTTTGTGAACTGTTCGGCAGAAAGTTCGTTTATTTAATAAATGAATGAACATGAACAATTTTTTTTGTTCGTTTAGTTAAACAAACGAATATGAACAAGAGTCTCGTTCGTTCATTCATGTTCATGAACGTTCGTTTATGTTCTTTTATTTATTTAGTTTGAATTCAAATAATATTTATTTAAGTTTTAACTTTTTAGAGTTTATTTAGATTTAAATTTTATCATCATTTTGTCTTATTTGAAATTTTTTACTTTTTTCAATTTTCCCCCAAAACCCTAGCCTCCAGATTATTTGGTGTGTAATAGTTAATTGAATGACAAGTAGTGGGGTTCGTTTAAGCTTGTTCGTTTATATTCGTTTACCCTATTTGTTTATGTTCATTTAGTATGTTAATGAACGAACATAAATGAACATAAACGAACACAAACACACTTGAATTCTAAACGAACGAACACGAACATAAAGATTTTTGTTCGTTTACCGTTTGTGCTCATTCGTTTGTTCAATTAAGTTAACGAACGAACATGAATAAGCTTCTATGTTCGTTTAGTTCGTTTATAGCCCTAACCATATCCATTACATCTTTTTATATTTCTATCCAAGGTTACAAATAGCACAACTAAAACGATTTATAATGAAATATGTCGATTATTTTGCGACAATGATTCATATAACAACTAGGAAAAAAGCCTGGTAGGCATATATAGGTTTATTATTTCTAACGAGAACAATTGGACGATAAGTCAGTTTTAACTTTTTCTATCTGGTTTTAGTATGAATAGAATTTATCTTAAATAGAATGCCACTTCATAATTCTGTCATTTTTGGATTTTTGTATGCATATAAGGCCGGCTAATGACGTAAAGATTTATCTGTATTGTGTTTTATAGTTTTTTTCTCGTTTCATATTTTTAAGAATTTCTACCGTAACTTCTCATTGCAGAAAGTTAATGGTAGCACAAGTCGGTAGCCGGGACGGTGGTGGTCAAGTAAGGAGAGTCCATATTGTGTATTTTCTTAGTCGTAATGGTTGTACCGAACATCCTCATCTTTTCCGTGTCCATCATCTCTCACGTAATGGAGTTCGCTTAAGAGGTCAGTAATATTTTCATAAAACGATATTGTACAACGTGACATGCATGTGTTTTATTATATGATATTGTACAACGTATTTTCAAAACTTTCATTTTGATACCTCAGATGTAAAGTTTTAAACATTTAAGTACCCAGATAATTGGTTGAAGCATTAACCAGTTACCATGTTGATGTGGTGAGTGATGTGATATCTTATTAATGCTTCAGCAAATAATACTGAGTTGGATACCACATAGATAACCTAAACAAAGACACATGTCATAACTCATGCACACAAAAACGATATTAATTTTGTAGATGTTAAGAGTTGGCTATCTGAATTAAGAGGAAACAACATGCCCGAGGGTTTTGCTTGGTCATACAAGAGGTTTGTCTTCGGCTCTTTTATTTAATACGTCAAGGGTTGTTTACCTAAATGTTTATTCGATAAGTGCTTATCATTAGTAGTCAACATTATAATTTATTTTATTGGGTAAGGTTGTAGTACATCAAAACGTATTTCATGCAACAATTTTCCTGGTTAGCGCTTACCCGGGTAAGAGTCATCACCCTCACTTATCGGGTAAGACTCCCCATCTTTATCTTCGTTCTTACCGGGTAAGATTCTTGGCCCTTGTCATGTTCATCCGATGAGGAAAAAATTCCCCGGTAAGTGTTTAGTAAACGGCCGCTTAATTAATTAAGAGATTATATAAAATCCACATGAATTCTTACAAATTTGATGTTCTTTCAACTCAAAAACCATCGACTTTATTCCATTGATTCTTAAAGCATTATAGGAATGTTTGGTTAAAGGTATTAAACAGTAATCAATATGAATGAAATAAAAAAAATGTTTAATATTATATAATATAATCAACTCATTCTCCCAAAAACACAAATTTTCATTTCATATTGAACCGGGGGGAATGAAAATTCATTCCATGTCATTTTCTAAAGGTCATAATAGACTGTTTTATAAGACATAAGTTTATAGGACTGAACAAGTGTCTGTTTTATATTAAAGCATGCAATATATAAGCTTATATGGCACTTTTGAATGTCTTAACAAGTTTTATTGACATTTAAAAAAAAAGGTGTCCAACTATTAATTGTTAACCTATAACACCTATAAAATTGGAGATAATTTAAACCGTAGAAATAAAACGGATTAAAAGTTGGATCAAATATAATCACCCAACAAAAAAGGAAATAGTAAGAGAGTTTACATTTAAGAACGTATCGTAGCTAACAACTTACTAATCTAAACCAATTCTAGACTTAGATTACGATCGAATGTCGCTACAATTCTCAAAATAATCTATATATATATGGGGCCTATTCAAGGGAGAACTGAGTTGTTTGTGGTAACTGTGAGAACCAATATTAACCACAAATCAATAGATAAATTAGAAAATTTATAAATTTGGTAATTTTAAATTAAAACCTTAATGCAAGAATATTTTTGGTATTTTAAAACTCTCCTCTCTCCTCTCTTCTCTCTCCGGCCACCGTTCTCCGGCCACCGTCCTCCGGTGATACCACTATGATACCACTGTGATACCTAAAAATATTGATTCTGTTAAACAAAAGATACATTGTGATACCTAATCATATATAAGATGCATAGTGATACAACTGTGTTACATCTTTGATTGACCACACAAACGACATCAATGTGATACCCAAGCACATATATGATGCATTGTGATACCATTGTAGTATCACCGGAGGACGGTGGCCGGAGGACGGTGGCCGGAGAGAGAAGAG